AACTGTCCTTAGAAAGAGCACCAGGAAACTAGGAAACAACGACATCGGCACGAATTTGATTCCGGATCTATTTTTCAACTAGAAGATTAGATTAGACCACCAGGAAAAAAAAGGTGAGCCGATGGTTGTTCAAAATCGAAATGATCGCTTGCTGAAAAAAAATGAAATAAGTCATAAAAAACTAACCGATCTATTCATCAGTTTCCCCAATCAAAAGCTGTTTCCTTGAAAACAACAAACATCAAACAAACAAGGACGTTAATAATTACTTTTATAATCGTATCATTGAATATTATTTACTCTTTAAAAGGCAGGACCACTATTATAGAAGCAAAGTCAACCTCTGTCGGTCATGTCCCTTTTGACTGGGGAAATAACATGACAATGAGGAAGAAGTACTTCTACTCAACATAAATATTTAATAAGTCCAAGTATTTCGGAACGCTTATTGGCTGGATAATGGACCTCAGTGATATGTTGGTCTCTAATGTCGATATTGTTCCTACATTATATTTAATCTTGTCATTTTAACTGAAAAACCAAATCGTTGTAATGTTATAGAGTTTTAGTGACTTGTTTTTATGAGCATTATTTCAGTTATATGATTGTACCTTAAGCTGAGGCACCCTTTCAGATAAGTCTTTACCATGGATTAGTTGGGACAACAAAGGATATCAAATTGTGCTTCACAGAACTGCCCAGGAAATGAATCTTTCCCCCAAATAAACTGAGATTAAAAAACAAAAACAAATTATCCAATTTGTTCAAGATGATCAGCTCCAGAAAACGAAACCTGGAAGAAACTAAAACGGAAGAGCAGAAAAAACGAAGGCAGGACACAGATGCAGGTGAGTTAAAGTCTTTTACTGTACACTTGTTGGACAGAATACAGTACGACATGCAGTAGAATTTATAAAGCCGTTACTGTAATGAACATGTAACCTATGAGCTATTTGATACCATATGAGCATGTGGCTTATATTAGGTTACATTATACTCATTGGTCTAAGTATTTTAGAAACTGCTGATCTGTTGGGATTTTCCAGAACAACAATCTCTAGAGTTTACAGACAAAGGCAGAGAATTGTTTTTTTTTTCTTCTCGTGTACAACTGTTCAACTGTTGTCTGTTATGGTTGTATTGAGGGTGTGAATGTGAGGATGGAGTAAAAATAAAGTAACCTGAATGTGTCCTGAAGAAGCCAATAAGAAAGGCAACAGCAACTCAAATAACCATTCGTTAATACCGAGGTATGCAGAAGACCATCTATGAATGCACAGCATGTCAAACCTTGAAGCAGATGGGTTACAGCAGCAGAAGATTACACTGGAGCCACTCCTGTGTACTAAGAATGGGAACTGAGGCTATAGCTCACATGGCTAGACCAAAAAATGGACAATAGAAGACTAGAAAAATGTTGCGTGATCTGACTCTTGAATTCTATTGTGACATTCAGATGATAGGGTCAGAATTTGGGGTACATGAAACAACATGAAAGCATGGATCCGTTTGCCTGGTATCAGCAGTTTGGGCTAGTGGTGTGATGGTGTGACCACATGACCACAGCGTACCATCCTCCGATGACTGCTTCCAGCAGGATAACTCACTATGTTACATAGCTCAAATCATCTCAAACTGGTTTCTTAAATACACGAATGAGTTCACACTACTCGGATGACCTCCACAGTCCCAAAGCTAGACAGTAGAGCACCTTTAGGAGGTGGTTGAACGGGTGTGTCACATCATGGATGTGCAGCCTAAAAAAACTGTGGCAACTGTGCGGTCATGTCAATATAAACCAAAATCTCAGAAATGCTTCCAGCACCTTGTTGAATCTGTGTGATAAAGAAGACAAAAGTGGGTCAAGCTTGGTACAACCATAAATATGCTTGTTTTTCATTTCATGTGTTTCATTTTTTTCTACAGTCATCTACAAATGCATTGATGTGTTTTTCTTTCTTTCTTTTTTTGTTTAAGTAATCCAGCAGCAGAAACTTCATGGCCTGAAAAATCAAGGAGCCACATGTTATCTCAACAGTGTCCTACAAGTTCTGCTCATGACACCTGAGATTCATGACAGGTGGGAGATACTGTAATGCTTACATTACATCTGTACTCTAACTTCAAAGAGGTGCAAATGAATCGTCAAATATGTGTTCCATGGTGTGGGTAATTGACTGTTGATTCAGCACATAACTGACAGGGAAGCTTCCTCTTCCCCAAAGGCAACATCATCTTAAGATTTTAGTTAGTAAATTAGAAAAAGCTAAACCTGAGAAATAGTGGCTCAATGCTGAGATCTGCCTTTAGTTTTTAAGAAGAAGACAAATTAGTCAGCGTGTCTAATTTCAAATTGTTCTGTCAGAAAGGAAAGAAATCAAAAGAAAATAAATATTATTATGTCACAAAAGCCTGGATTTGAAAGTAGAAAAAATAATACAAACATGTTGAATGGACAGTAAAATAATCACTAATAAGCAGAGATGCGCAGTGATCTGATTACTTTTTTCAAGTAATGAGTAAAGTAAGGGATTACTATTGCAAAAAAGTAATTAGATTACTGTTACTTTCCCAAAAGCACGCTGCGTTACTGCGTTACTGCGTTACCAAACCGTGATTTTGTTTGTTAGAGTGTCTCATGGCAATGATCAGCCCATTCTCATATTATGCTTAGGGAGTGAGAACGTGTTGCAATGATGTAAGTGCGTGTGAAGTTTGTGGTAGCGACAGACGTGTGCAGATCAACAACCGATAATATATCGAGTGCAGGAGAGAATACGACCATGTGTTTTACTTGCATTTATTTGAAAGAGTGAATGTAAACACAAAAATATTTGATTTTATATGCTTGAATATGCAGAAAATAGCTTTAAATGTTAAACAAATTTCTTCAAGTCAAAGACAGTTGCATATAATTTAATATTTGCTTGATGCAATGTGCTTAAAGTTAAAAGATTAAAACTAATAAAACAAGTTTTAAAAAAGAGACTTTTTCATTTGATTCAGTTTTATATGATGGATTATGCAGAAAACAAAGAACTGGGGTGAAAGGACTATTGCTTTATAATGTATTCAGGTTGTGTATCATGTTTTTAAAAAGTAACTAATGCTAATAAGTGAGAAATAATTGTGATTGTTTTCCTGAAGGTTAGATCCAGAATCACAAAAAATAGACCAAGGGCTGAGAAACATCTTTGAACGTCTGAAGAAAAGAACATGTGGAACAAAAAAGATAACAAAGACTTTGGAGATCCATAATGGTGAGATGACCAGTTGGTAAAACATAAATGTCAAAGGTAAACTCAAAGAAAAGGTCACATAGTGGCTGCGATGAGTAACATTTACATGGAATTTTCAGTTTCTCAGCAGCGTGATGCTGCTGACTGCCTAGATCTGATTTTAAGCAAGGTCAGCCCACCGGTCTCTGAGGTGAGAATCTTACCATCCAAATAACATTGAGAAATCAGAAAGTTTTCTAACTGATGTTTCTGTGTTAAAGCTTTTTGAGGGTCAGCTGATGTACACAACACAGTGCTCTGAAGGCCACGTCATCAATGAAGAGACAAATCCTTTCTGGACTCTTCCACTGTCACTCAGAGACAACCCTGATGAAACATACAGTGTGGTGAGCAGCAGCTAGACTATACACTACTTATCTTATTGTTTTTGAATTCACAAAGACATAATTTTATTATTTTTTTCCCCAAACATAAACCTTGTGGTGTACAGTGGGATGCAAAAGTTTGGGCAACCTTGTTAATAGTCATTATTTTCCTGTATAAATTGTTGGTTGTTACAATTAAAAATGTCAGTTAAATATATCATATAGGAGACACACACAGTGATATTTGAGAAGTGAAATTAAGTTTATTGGATTTACAGAAAGTGTGCAATAATTGTTTAAACAAAATCAGCCAGGTGCAGAAATTTGGGCACTGTTGTCATTTTATTGATTCCAAAACCTTTAGAACTAATTATTGGAACTCAAATTGGCTTGGTAAGCTCAGTGACCCCTGACCTACATACACAGGTGAATCCAATAATGAGAAAGAGTATTTAAGGGGGTCAATTGTAAGTTTCCCTCCTCTTTTAAATTTTGTCTGAAGAGTAGCAACTCTCAAATGACCTGAAGACAAAGATTGTTCACCATCATGGTTCAGGGGAAGGATACAGAAAGCTGTCCCAGAGATTTAAGCTGCCTGTTTCCACAGTTAGGAACATATTGAGAAAATGGAAGACCACAAGCTCAGTTCAAGTTAAGGCTCGAAGTGGCTGACCAAGAAAAATCTCGGATAGGCAGAAGCGACGAATGGTGAGAACAGTCAGAGTCAACCCACAGACCAGCACCAAAGACCTACAACATCATCTTGCAGCAGATGGAGTCACTGTGCATCGTTCAACCATTCGACACACTTTACACAAGGAGATGCTGTATATGAGAGTGATGCAGAGGAAGCCTTTTCCCCGCCCACAGCACAAACAGAGCTGCTAAAGCACATTTGGACAAGCCAGCTTCATTCTGGAATAAGGTGCTGTGGACTGATGAAACTAAGATTGAGTTATTTGGGCATAACAAGGGGCGTTATGCATGGAGGAAAAAGAACACAGCATTCCAAGAACAACACCTGCTACCTACAGTAAAATATGGTGGTGGTTCCATCATGCTGTGGGGCTGTGTGGCCAGTGCAGGGACTGGGAATCTTGTCAAAGTCGAGGGACACATAGATTCCTCTCAGTATCAGCAGATTCTGGAGACCAATGTCCAGGAATCAGTGACAAAGCTGAAGCTGCGCGGGGGTTGGATCTTTCAACAAGACAACGACCCGAAACACTGCTCAAAATCCACTAAGGCATTCATGCAGAGGAACAAGTACAATGTTCTGGAACGGCCATCTCAGTCCCCAGACCTGAATATTATTGAAAATCTGTGGTGTGAGTTAAAGAGAGCTGTCCATGCTCGGAAACCATCAAACCTGAATGAACTAGAGATGTTTTGTAAAGAGGAATGGTCCAAAATACCTTCAACCACAATCCAGACTCTCATTGGAATCTACAGGAAGCATTTAGAGGCTGTAATTTCTGCAACAGGCAGATCTACTAAATATTGATTTCCTTTCTTTTTTTGTGGTGCCCAAATTTATGCACCTGCCTGATTTTGTTTAAACAATTATTGCACACTTTCTGTAAATCCAATAAACTTCATTTCACTTCTCAAATATCACTGTGTGTGTCTCCTATATGATATATTTAACTGACATTTTTTATTGTAACAACCAACAATTTATACAGGAAAATAATGACTATTAACAAGGTTGCCCAAACTTGCATCCCACTGTATGTTTGAAAAGGTCCTAGCATGTCAGTAGATCAAAACCCATTTAAATGAATTTCCATTTTAGAGGAAATGTAAAGATTTTTATGAGCACATTTTATTTGTTTGTGTGTGTGTGTGTGTGTGTGTGTGTGTGTGTGTGTGTGTGTGTGTGTGTGTGTGAACGCTTTTCAGTGTAAGCGAAAGCATTTTACTAGTTTGCAAGACTGGGTTTCTGTTGTGTATCTGCATCGTTTCACTGTGTATGCAAGGTTTTCAATATTGAGAGAATGGATTTGATTTCATATGTGTATGTGATTCTGAATAAAATCCCTCATACTTGGGAATACTTTGTATTTTCTTTTCCTTTCATTATTGGGACATCTGTGTTTGTACAGGAAGAAGGATTTGAAAAGGTTTTCCAAATTGTGTCATACAGTGGAGACAGCATGGTGTACTGTCAAGAATGTGAGAAGAAAACAGGGGCAACCAGCGTGAGTTTCAAACACCAGCTGTAGCGTTACTGAACTTTAAACTAGGATTACTGGGATGTCTTAGATCTGTTTAAAGCAGAGTCTGTTGGTACAACTCTGCTGTGTTTAATCATCTCTCATTTGGTTTTTAGGGATGTGAGATGGTGAAGTTTCCTCGCATCTTAATTCTACTCCTCAAAAGATTTGACTTTGACTACAACACCATGTCAGATTTTAAATCAGACTGCTGTGTTGCTGTGCCATCTGAATTAAAAACAAAGGTAAGGACGAGTCACTTCGAAGCCTGTTCGTATTTCTTATCTTCAAATTTATTCTTATATTTGACGGTATGTTTTGTTGTAGGACAAGAAGTACAAAGTATATGGGATAGTGAATCACATGGGCAGTCTAAGAGGTGGACATTACACAGCCACTGTGCTGTCCAAAGAGGACCACACCTGGTATGAGTGCGATGACAGCCACGTGACACAGGTGATTAATTAAATATGGGTCATATTTAAAACCTACAGAAACTTTTATTATTGCAGTGCTCATTTTAATCATAATCTCTCTTTTTAAAAAAAATATTTTTAAAGTCTGAAGAGCAGCTGTTTGCAAAAACCAGGGCATACAAGTAAGTTTGCTTTTTACCAACTCTTACACAACAGGGTCAATCCATCTCAAGTCAACATGGGCCTTCTGCTCAACCATCTCTAATTTTCATGAACAATTTGTGGTTGGGACATGTAGAATGATTGCTGTGAAATGCTAGCTTCGTATATCAAATACTTTTTAAAGTTTCTTTTGTTTTTTGGTTATTTTGTTTTTTTAAGAAAAATGGTCTGTCAACCCTCTTTCAGGCATTTTCCCCCACACATTGAAATCTTCATTTTATTGTTACCTGTGTTATTTGTGAGGTGCGAGAATGAAGAAGCACAATAATACAACACAACCACAACAACACATATTCAGTATTCAAAGATAAAAGCTTTAAATTTCAAGCAAAGTCCCTTATGTGAGCGCACAGTAATAAAAAATTCTAATTGCAAAAGACAGCTAGGGGGGATTTGTGAATGGTTTATAGTACCAAGACTACCTGTAACAGTACCAACACTTTCCAACATCAAATTCTCAGTCACAAAAAATGAACAAGATTTAGTTTCTCTTTACTTTTTTGCTGGATTGAGCAAATATGACAAAAATATCAGTAGATTATATTTATAGATTCTATTGAAATTGAAAAAAAAAAATTCCAGTGGACCATTTAAAAAAATACATGGAAATATCTTGTAAAGTATTTGATTTGATATAAAGTTATCATTTTATGCAAATCAGTGAAAGGTCAAGATTAAAAATTTGCTGTTTTGATATGGGATGACCCAACAGGCAGTTTACTTCGTTATTTGAGTAATGTTTATTAAACTTTTATAAGAAGCGCCCCACTTTTGGGGCATTTTAATGACTTCTTTGATAAACCCACGTGATTGATGAAAGGCTCCAGAACAATGACAGTACTAAATAAATATGGAAGTGACTAATTCTGAAATATGTTATATGATTGTATGTTGCTGATTTTTTTCTTCTGTGTGAAAATTAACTTCAAAATGATGATTAAACAGTTCCAGAACCGCATATCTGCTCATGTACAGAGGTAAGATCACAAAACCAATGAACATCAAGAAACCATTTAAATAATTCATGCAGCACTGCTGAATTATTACCATGTGTCTTTTTTTAAGCCTTGGAGAGAGAGCCAGAGGAGGTGAAAGAACAACAGGGGAGCAGGAGAAGAGTGGGAAAAAAGGATGAACCAGAGGAAAGGATAATGGATGAATACATAAAGAAATCAGCAGGGAAAATTCACAAGGATGCTCCGCAACCTGGCAAGAGTTCAGACATAAAGAGGAACTGTATTTTGATTGCTCTCGTCATTGTTGGTTTTGCCTTTATTGTAATACTATACAAATCACAAGTCTCAGCATAAATTTATGGAGTGGGGGAAAGACTCACAAGAAAACACTATGCATAGATTTAGAAATGCCAGCCTGTTATAGAAGCGGTTTTGCCAAATTTTAAGATTTTTACAGATATTAAACAGACAGTTATGGTCAGTGTTATGAATGGAACCATGTCAAAACCATGGAATTAATCATGGGACAAAATCAAATGATTTCATGATGTGTAGCTGAATTTCAATCAATATATATTTTGTTGTATTATTTTATTACATTTAATTTTTAGATTTTTGATGTAAATTTTGGTATGCAAAATAATAATAAATAATTACACAATAATTGGTGTGTTCATCCATCCATTCATCTTTGTCCTGAGAGCGGAGGATACAAATATACCTACCCCTTCCCGTTACCTCCACAGTGGAACAGAGCCCACAACACTGTTTTATTGCAGATAAAACAGTGTTGTGGGCTTCCACAAGCAGGGACAGAGAAACTAGTGTGGAATGCAACCAAATACATACAAGTCACTACTCCAGAGGATGGAGACTGAGGAGAGTTCACCAGTTCAATAAGACAGAGAACCAAAGCAAAGGGATTCATCAAAGCTTTGTACTGAAGTACTGCTACAAAGTACTCTCAACACAATTTATGTGTATTTTATGAATGTTTTTCAATCAAACTTGAAAGCAGTATAGTTATGCTTCTCACCACCCAAAGAGACACCCAGCAGTTGAAAACAAAAATATGGCTGGCAGTCATGGCAGAGATAGAAGTGATGCAGAGCTGACGCTGTCAGATGTTCTTTCAAAGTCAATGTCTCAATTGTATTTTCACCTTCAGCCACCTGGTGGCTAATCTTTGTATTTACTTTCTATTTGTTTACTCTGTATATCAGGTGTGTGAATTAGAGGGGTGACAGGTACTGACAGTCAGAGACTTTGCACTGTGGAATTTGGTGTGTACATGGACTACTGAGATTTGATTTGGTAGGTAATCATACATTTACTGACTAATATACTTTGCAATAACAGTAAAAAGAAATACCATAACAGAATACACATTTATGATTATTCTACCTCCATTTTTTTAAAATTGTTTTTATTTCTAACTGCTGTACAATCTGAAACACCACACATCATGTTTTCAGCCTCACTGTGACAGACTAAGTACTCCCACAGTCACTGCTCCATCAAGTGGGTCACTTGTAGACCACACTAACAATATAGATTAATATACATATATAGAATAATATAGAATAATGTTCACAGTGCTTGCTCACTGTAAACATGTAGATTGTAAAAGGTACCAAAAACCTTCCTTCTCCTTTTTCAATCAAAAGCAGATGAGATAAAACAGAATATAGATAATAATTAACACAATTGTAAAGCCTAAATATGCTTTACTTGCTAGAAGTCTCAAACATGCGCTCTAAAACTATTTTGATGGCTATGTATATAAAAAGCTCATTAAAAAGGTGAATGCTCGTTTTGCCATATGAGGTCATGAGATTTGTATCATGTGACTGACTGGAAAAAAACACATGCACCAAGGCATTTCTCCAGTTTAACAATGTTGGATGAAATGGTGTAAAGAAAGCATGCAGCATTTTGACTGTTCCTGATTAATTATAATAGCTAACAATATCATAGATTAATCTGTTTTCTCTTTGCATTTTCAAAATCTACCATTGCTGATAAAAAAAAAGTTAACTGGGGTAAAAGGGATGAAGTGAAGAGCTGAGCCAAGGCATACCTAGTATATGATAAATAAGGATAGTTTTGAACTGTGAGTCATGCAAAGATGCTCTAGAATATTGCAAGAGCAAAAATATGGATCTGGGAATGAGAACAACAGGTTTGATTTCATTGATCATTGCTTTTATTTTTATACATAATAAAAGCACAATATTTATGTGAATATGCTAGGGATAAAGATAACTAAATATAAACAAATAACTTCAATATTACTTTCTTGGGAATATTTACACCTTAATTATTCATCATTTACAGCTTGTGATATGTAGCTTATAGGTAGGAGTCTTAAAAGGTCCCAAAGAGACCCAAAGACCAAAGATGACACAGTTAAATCATAGTTGTGAAAGATAAACATATTGACATATGATTTAAATATTACTTTTTCTGTAATATTTATATTGTGGGGTGCGCTGTGTATAACTGTACATGTATTGCCATTTCTTTGGTACTCCAAATAATAATGAGTTACACAGGTTATAAGTGAAAACAAACAAACAAAAAGACAGATACTATTACATCTATTATTTATCATTTATATTTTCTGATTAGTGCTCAACTCTAAATAGGTATGCTGAGAGTCTTAAAAGGAAGGAAGACCCGAAGGTGTAAAAGTGAACCAAAGTGAACCAAAGATACTTCACACATAGTTACATTGGTCTTTATCAGCCTCTGTGGACCCTTGCCACCATCTGCACCACGGATGAGGGTTTGATCCCATATTCAGACAGTGATGCAGAGTCGTCATCCAGCGGCTTTCCAGAGACAACCAGCCGAACTTCACCCAGATGATATTCTACACACACAACACAGGAGAGAGAGGAACCTCACTAAATATATAAACATGTCACAAATAATTATATCATATCCCTGAACATGACTGAAGGTTTTTGTTTGTTGTTAAGTTGCACTCAGACAGCACAAGTGTCAAAAACAATTATTTTAACGGTAAAATAAATAAATAAATAAATAAATAAATAATAACATAACTGGAGTTTCAAAACAAAACACCAGCAAAAAACAAAAACAAAAAAACAAAAACAAACAAACAAAAAACCTAACAAAAGTGACACAGAACACGGGAAATGTGTTTGTCATTGAATATATGTTTGTTGCGGTTGTGTTGTATTATTGTGCTCCTGCATTCTCGCACTTCACAAATAACACAGGTAACAATAAAACGAATCGAAACTGAAAATAACGAAGGCCAAACCGAATCTAAACATTCGTAACAATAAAAAACAACTTCATATAGTCTTTAAAAATATATAATTTAAAAGATTCTTAAAATATATGAGGACACTTGAATGCAGGCTTACAATACAGTCAACGTCATTTGTTGTTGTCATGGTCCCTGTGCCTCACCAGCTGACCCTGTATTAGCCAACATGTTTTTTCTCTCTTTCTCTCTCTCTGTCACCTGCCGGGGCGGTGCTCATTATGGGCTCCCGCCCCTGGCCCACGCACCTGCTGCCTATCGGGATGATCACAAGGCCGATTTAAGACAGCAGCACTGTGTCACTCGTCGCTGGATCGTTGAGCTATCAGCGTCAGTCGCTCAGTAGTTTGTGAATCAGAATCTGTGAGTTCTTTCCGTCTGTTCGCCTCTAACTAAAGTTTCTGTGTACAGATCTTTCCCGGACCTTTCCCTGCCTGCCTGTCATCCCGTGGACGAGTGGACCCCCTCCCCTCCCTCCAGCACGTTGTAAATAGCATCACCTGGTGTCGTTGTGTAAATAAATTGATTGTAAACTCTGTAAAGGGTCCTGGTCTGCGCCTGAGTCCGTTAACTAAAACCTGAAAGAACGATCCAGCCAGCATGGACTCAGCAGGTCGGGACCCAGCCGCTCAGGCACTCATCGCTCAGGGAGCTGCTCTGGCTCGACATGAGCAAATGCTCGAGCGGCTCCACCACGAAATGGCGGCGCTTACGCAGGCGGTCGCTCGCTTAACACCTCTGGAGAGTGATCCCCGGCCGGCGGCTCCCGCCCCCCAGGAGCCTGCGCCTGCCGCTGCGAGCGCACCTCCGGCACCTCTGCCACCCTCGGACGGACCCCTGCCCACGCCGGAACCTTTTACGGGTGAGTCGGACAAGTGTGCTGGTTTTCTGGCTCAATGTACTCTTGTGTTCCGTGAGCAGCGGCGCTTCCATAACAACGACGGTGCCAAAATAACCTTTTTTGTCCAGTTGCTGCGGGACCGGGCTTTAAAGTGGGCTCAGGTCGTGCTTAGCTCGGATCCCGGGATTGCCTATGCTGATTTCCTGTCTAAATTCCAGACTGTGTTCAATAAAGGCTCAGGCGCTGAAGTCGCCGCGCTTCGTCTGCTGAACTATAAACAAGGGAAGCGGAGCATGTCTGACTATTCTATTGATTTTTGGATTTTGGCTGAAGAGACAGGCTGGGGCCCGGAGGCCTTACGGAGTGCACTGCTCAACAATGTTCGTGAAGAGGTGAAAGATGAACTCATTATGCGAGATCTCCCCGACTCTCTTACCGAGTTAATGGCTTTATGTATTAAGGTGGATGACCGGCTGCGAGCTCGTCGTCTGCCGCGGCACTACAATTCCCAGGAGGCCACGGGGCAGTGGAGGGCTGGCTCCACCTCGGAGCCCAGCTCTTCCCGGCAGGCAGAGAGCGCAGACGGAGGAGAGCAACCCATGCAGATTGGAGGCTCGCATCTCTCCGCCGCGGAACGCCAGCGCCGTATCTCTGCCGGTGAGTGCCTCTATTGCGGCCACAAGGGACATGTGGTTGCCTCTTGCCCATCTCGAGCAAAAGGACTCTGCATGTCACTGCTTTATCCGGACAGCGCCTACCTGACATTACTCACGTCACTGAGCCCGTCATTCTTACTCTGTCTGGCAACCACACCGAGGAAATTTGTTTTTTTGTGTTCAAGGCCACTCGGACACCGCTCGTTCTCGGGCACCCCTGGCTTCGTCAACACAACCCGAGCATTAATTGGCTTACGGGACGCATTACGGGGTGGGGGGAGGAGTGCCATATGACCTGCCTTAAATCCGCCTCACCGCCTCACACACCAGCCTCCCCCGCCGAGTCGACCGCGCCCTCCGATTTGTCCGGAGTGCCCCCTGTTTATCGTGATCTCGGCGAAGTGTTTCGCAAGGATCGGGCACAGTCGTTGCCTCCGTACCGACCGTACGATTGCGCTATCGACCTGCTCCCTGGCGCACCATTGCCTACAAGCCGTCTCTACAGCATCTCTCTACCGGAGCGGGAGGCTATGGAGTCGTACATCACGGAGTCCCTCGCCGCCGGCTTGATCCGCGCGTCCTCATCGCCCGTAGCAGCAGGGGTTTTCTTCGTCGAGAAAAAAGACAAGTCTCTCCGCCCGTGCATTGACTACCGTGGATTAAACAACATAACCATCAAGAACAAATATCCACTCCCACTTCTTACCTCTGCTTTTGAGCTGCTCCAGGGGGCGACCGTTTTCAGCAAATTAGACTTGAGGAATGCATATCACTTGGTTCGGATCCGAGAGGGCGATGAGTGGAAGACCGCTTTCAATGCTCACCTTGGGCACTTTGAATACTTAGTTATGCCGTTCGGCCTCTCTAATTCTCCTGCAGTTTTTCAAGCACTCGTCAATGATGTTTTGAGGGATTTCATCAACAGGTTCCTCTTCGTCTACCTCGACGACATCCTGATCTTCTCCAAGAAGTTGGTCACAGCAAACTGTGGCAGACAGTGGTTTTCTAACCAGAAGGATATCCATGTACATGAATTATTTTTGAACTGCTTCAGGCAATAACTGAGTGAAAACCTGGAAGTGAAATCTTCTTTTACCCTAGATAAAAAGCAACACTATATCAAGTATTTACATTTTATTGTTGATTTTATTTTCAGATTTAGTTTGGTTTTCATTATTTTCAGTTTTGGTCTCAATTGTTTTATTAAGAAGTTTAAGTGACAGAAGGATAAAAAAAAAAAAACACATCCATCCATCCATTCGCTTCCGCTTATCCTTTTCAGGGTCGTGGGGGGCGCTGGAGCCTATCCCAGCTGTCATAAGGCGAGAGGTGGGGTACACCCTGGACAGGTCGCCAGTCTGTCGCAGGTAATAATACAACACAACCACCTAAAACAGACATTCAAGTAGACTTTTCAGTAAACCTTTGTGCTAAAGCTGGCTCAAGCTGTGTTAACAAATATGACCTCAGTGACAAACACAGCCCTTATTTTATTCTAATTAGTTGCACAGTGTGTAACTGCACAATTTTGTTGAGTTTTTTGTTATGTTTCTAAATTCCAGTTATTATTTTTATTAGAGTTGAATTAAATTCTTTTTGCAGTTTAGTTTTAGTTAAACAGTGGCCAAAGTCATGTGTTGTCTGAGTGGAGCTTAAAAATAACAGTCTTCAGTGGTGTTCAGGACAAACTGTGTCACGTGTGTGACATTATGTTTTTTCCAAATTGTTAAACATGCTACAAATCAAACCGAAGTAGACTAACTTGTTTAAAGGCTCCATTATATTATATTATATTATATTATATTATATTATATTATATTATATTATATTATATTATATTATATTATATTATATTATATTATATTATATTATATTATACTGTCATTATATTAATGCTGCTATCCTTTTAGGGCTTGTGGAGGCATATTTTCTGTCTCTCGATATGGTGTGTGAATTGGTTTGTTTTGTTTGGCCTGCATTTTTAATATTTGTATCTTTCTATTTGTTTGCGGCATGTGATGGTGAACCCCAGAAGCGCTTTCACACTGACTAGGGTGGTCAGTGTTTCATTTATGGGTTTTCACTGTTGGATGTCCAGTTGGTGCACTACAGGTTGAGCAGCATTTTCTGAGCGGACACTCATTACTTTCTGTTAGCTTTATGGTCCCTGTCGTTACATAGCTGTCCAGTCCATCATGGCTACTGGCATGCCCTGATTATACCTCAGTTTTGCTATTAATCGAGCATGTGGGTTGTTTGGTGTGGTTGTTTGTTGCTCATTATCACATTTTCTGTAACCCAGTTCTTTCTCAGGTGCCCCTTTCAGATATCTCAGTACATGTTTTACCGTGGTCCATTGGTCTTCAGTCGGCTGACTAAAATACTGTGATAGTTTACTTATTATAAAATTAAGTCTGGTCTTGTGCATGTATAAAAATAGAGCACCCACTCCCTCTCTGTACATTTGACATCATTCATCTTTTCAGCACCATCAGCGTAGTTCAGTTTTTGCTCACAAGGTGTCCCTCTAGCTTTGCAATCATGCATGTAGAACCTTTCAAGCATTTTTTCCATGTATTGTGAATGTTACCCAAATGGTTCAGTTTTAATTTTCTGCAAACATTTTCTTCAAAACAATTAGTGCATTTTTGTCACTGGCAGCAACGATCAAGTCATCTACCTATATTATCAAAATCACCTTCTTATTTTACTCGTGGCCACCTCTCACCTCCTTCGTAGAAAGGGTCACTCCCAGACAGGCAGGGCTGTGATGCGGTGCCTCAGTGGCTCTCCTCTTCTGAGAGTTATTTGTAAACAAGATGAAAACTGACTATTAATGGGAATACGCTGGAAAGTCAAGATAACTATTACCAGAGATTTAATATTACTTTTTCTGTAAATTGATATTTGGGGTCTGCTGTGTGTAACGTACATTTTGTCATTTCTTTTGGTACTTCAAACTAATATGAGTTACACAGGTTATCAAGTGAAAACAAAAAGAACTAAAAAGAAGATACTATTACATCTATTATTCTATCATTATACTTGTTATATATTAGTGCTCAACGTCTAAATAGTATGTGAAAGTCTTAAAATGTAAAGGAAGACCAAAGGTGTAAAGTGAACCAAAGTGACCAAAGATGACCTTCACCAGCTAAATAGCATTCTGTATTCATTGCGTGCATTTATGCTGTCAGCCTCGTGGACCTTGCCACCATCTGCACCACGATGAGGGTTTGATCCCATATCTCAGACATAGATGCAGAGTCATCGTCTCAGCTGGACTTCAGCCAGAAGATATCCTACAACTCCACTGAAGATTTTTGCACTCAGAAATCACATGACTTTGGCCACTGCTCAACTTAAAACTACAATAAGTGTGAAAAACATTTATTTCATCAACTTTATAAACAAAAGTGTGCACTCACAGTTTGTGTGATGAAAGTTTTGAAGTTGTTGTGTTGTATTATTGTGCTTCTTGATTCCAAACATACAACACATAACAATAAAACTGTCAGGGACCCAGGGTCACTCAGCCCAGGGTCCCTGACCAGTGATGGACTTATCTGTTATTATATGTATTTTTGGTATTGCTGTCCTTCTTCCCCCTGTTTGCAGATATGAGTGTGTGTGGGTGTGTGTGTATGGATGCGGCAGGGGTGGATCTAGAGAAATTTTCTTAGGGTGGCATGAGGGTGGCAAAGAAATCAAATGGGGTGGCAAAATCAAAGCCTTTTTTTTTTCAAACACATATGCAGGTGGTTACATATGGTTAAAATGATTCAAATGCAGTAAGTATACACGTTTTTCATATAAATATAGTCTATAACTTAATTATTGTCTGTAGCCCACATAATTACACACTTTAGTTACATAAAACATGTGAGTTTTGATGTTATGTACTGTATAGCCTGTATAATAAATAAATATGTAGCCCAATAAGTATAAAATCCAGAAAGCTACACAACATGGGGCGGTTCATTTACAAACACAAGTCTAACTTAAGTTTCACACTGTTTTTTGTTAGAAAACAATCACATTGTTACAGCTTAAATTACACAAAATGTCAGAAATCTGCACTGTCATGAACAAAAATTTAAACCTAATTTTTCATGATTTGTTGATTCCACTGAGGTCTGAAATACAACCGGCCATTTTTGACTCCTTTTGAGTTTACGTTTGTATTTCATTGTTTCATTCTATTTTTTCCCCTTGCCTTGTTTGGTATCATTCTTTTTTCAGCTCATCTGAATTTAGTTGTTTTTCACTGACATACTGCATTAGTACTACTATTACTATTAATAATACTATTACTGATCTGAAATCACACAAAGAATCCTAGTAGTATTTTTTACTGTAAAAAACCACAGACATGTTGAGTAAATTTTTATAACTTGAAATGCAAATATAAAATGTACATTTTGTAAACATATACAACTATTTATCTAAAAATGCAGCCAATACACCTGCCGTTTTTTTTCATTTTGTACAACCATTTAAAAATATTACTAAAACTAAAATGAGAGAACAATCAGGTGTTGCAATAAGATGCCCCACAAATGATGTGTGCCAGTAAAAAAAAAAAAGACAGGAGAACAGCACAGGGATAAACCTGCAGGCCTGACAACAGGAGGTGTATCACTTCGCTGGTTTTCTACTTAGTGACAGTGTTTACGTTGCAAATGTGCCTTTGTGACGTCGGAGGGGAACACACACGGGAGTCAAGGGAGCAACGGGGATTTATTGTGTTTACGGCTTTTACTGTAAATAAAGTGCACTGTTTGCATCGCAGAGTCCTGCATTTGGGTCCTCCTTCCCCACACTCCCACGGTCTGCCACACTGACCACACTCAACTAAATTGAGTTTTGACAATGAAAACTAAACCTTTCCTACAGTTGAAAAACCATGACTATCTATCTATCTATCTGCACATTTTGTTTGTCTTAATCGTGTGTGAGGCTGAAGAGCTACTTCTGGTTCTGTGAAGGGTCAGATGAGGTGAGAGCGTATTAGCAGCCCACAACAAAGGCTTTATCACACAAACAAACCAAAACATGCTTCAGGACCGTCAGGGAAGTTCCGCATCTAATTTACTTTCACTATCATTTTCTTACAAAAAAAAAAAAAGCTGACTCCTCCCACCGTCTGGTTAGCAGTTATTCAGTTCGCCACTGCGCCCAACCTCTTCAGGCTGTGTCCAGAGCGAAAAGATTGACGCATTCACGGGTCTCCTGCACAGGTAACACAGCGTGGATCACTCAGTGATGAGTGTTACACTTGGGTGGATATTCAAAGGTGTGATTTCACTGGTAACGACTGTTATGATCGCACTTCTCGTTATTGTTGGAAACACCCTAGTGTTCACTCTCTCTGTCTGACACACACACACACACCTACCACTAAAGTGCACATTCTGGTTTGTTTATTGTTTCGCAGACTGTTGGCCTCAAATATGACAACAAAACAGGAGAAGTGTTATAATCCGAATGACCCAACAGTTAAGTTTGTTGATAGAGAGGATGATTTGGACTGTAAGTATCACTTGGACACTTTTCAAACTGGTGTCAAAATTATTGTTTAGAAATAATAAAATGAAATCATTGTAAGTATTTACATTCACATTATGCAATGTAAAAAAAGTCGACATTAGCGTTTATTCCTGTGTGTGTGTGATTGTTCTCAGTTTTGTGTGAAGGCTTCAAATCTCTCAGAGCTCAGATGTCCTGTGGTCACGCTGTGACCCCGACCTCTCTCACCAACTGGTGTCGCAGGTTGTTGGACCAGGTAGGCCACTAAAGGTTGGCTGTGTTAAAATAAATCAATTAAAAAAGCAACATAAATAAAAAATACCTAAATAAATAACAGAAGGAATCAGACGTGGTGAATTTAGGGATAAATAAGATAATAAGGGAATGCTTTGGGCCTTATAATTATAAAAGTTAATAGTTTTAATGCTGCCACCCACAATTTTATAATCACGCATGTGGATAAATGCAGAAAACATATTAATTCACTTAAACAAAAAGATCCAAAGTGCAATGAAATAAATACCATTTTATTGGAATGATTATATTCATATAGGGGAGAATGAGTGAGAAAAAGACTGTTGGGTGAGAAACACTAACTGAAGTCAACAGAGGGAGTGGTGCATCTAACTTATCTCGATAGAAACCCCCTCTGCTTTCAAGGAACGAATAAAATTGGACAGAAATGTTCAGCTCTGATTTCTGCCTGTGTTGTTGTTGCTTGTAGCATTTATGTAATGCAACTCTTGCTTTAGTTAAGTGAAAGTTTCATAAATGGGAGTTTTCAATATTTAACACAAATGCTGCAGACGCATGACTCATCAGTGTGTACACTGTGCATCAACTGAGATGATGCAGATAAAGAAAGGTTTAGTTGCTGTTTCTGATCAGCTGCTTTCCAAACGTGTCTTCAAAGAACAGTTTAGTAAGCAGAG